ATCTGAAAGATTATCGCAAAAGGTCTCCTAATATAACCGTAAACCGGAAGAATACAGCTTCTGAAACCAGAATATGCTTTTAAAATGTATTCAGCCGAAACCAACAATTCCCACAGCTGGTTTAATTTTTCTTCAGGGTCATGGTAAGTGCATGGCACTTTTTGAAGCAACACACTATTTTTTCTACTCTATCGAACAATTTTATTCGGCAAAGAAGATGTTTGTTGACTTGTAAAAAAATCGGTCATTTCCTGGCGCGTCAAGAATTTTTTGCTCAATTTTGGTGAAATCACATATTTCACAGAAAAACCGCGTCATGACACGCATACAAATGATGCTATTATAATGAAAATGGGGCATTACTCGTATTTCGCATTAGGAAAACAAACGACAATCTACTCTAGTGGGAAACTCGAATGTCAAACACAAGGGAATATTTTGGAACAGAAATGTCTTATTATCCCGTAAAATACTGGGGACCGTGATGTTGGGTTCTCTGAGCTCGTGACTGAATATCCCATTTGCCAAAGCTAGAATTTAGCATAAACTGGACGCGTAACTTCGTGCATTCGGAAACCCATTCTTGGATCGAACAAACAGCAGTCCAAAAATTTTATTTAGTACAGCATATCACCAGGAGCACGACAACAGGTATCCACGTCAGACGAAAAAGAATTTAATTGAAAAAATTAATGGATGCGGGACAATTTCGACCAGAGAGCCAGCAGGTTTGTCCCCATTTAATTGCTTCATCTCGTCTCCGAGAAGCCGGATCAAGTGAGTAAGTGTAATGAGAAAAGCCAAAGCAATTGTCACTCGTTTAATTTGACACATTGCACTCCGGAATTGACCAGAACAAGAAACCGCTCTTGTAGGAGAAATATCGTCCGAGGATCTGCCCGACGAGATAGCAGCGGGCCCAGGAAGGCTTTAAAGGGACTGGAAACCATAGAGTAGCATTAAAGGGGTTTCCAAGCTTTTCGGTCGGGCTTCCCCTTGGCAGCTGTGTTGTATTTGCACAAACTGATTACAGAAGAGGGATGATGCACAAATAAATGATCATGTCGTGGGAAGCATTCTAGCTTATTCGTGCAGAAAACTCCGTGACAGATGGACAATGAAATACTTTCCGCTCGCTGCCTTAGTCCTTTCTCAATTTGACATCCCCGATTTCCTTGCCAACTGGTACTTTTTGTGATAATTTTGAAAAAGGAAAACGACCAAAACTTGTCGACAGAAGATAGAAACCTAGAATAGGGCATCGCAGAATCTAAGTTGAAATCAATAAAAAAAAAGGAAAATAGCATTTGTATTTTGGACAAGACGCGAGGACGTTTTTACGATTTTAAAATTTTTAAAATTTAGGGCGGATTTGTAGACTTGTTGAAATGCTGCATATTAAAAATGTTGACGGACACTGCAGACGAACTGATCATTCGCCAAACCGTCAAGCCTCGCATAGTCCATACGGTACTAACCAAAACACATCGTCTTAGCGTTACAAATATTTTTAGAGGTCACTCTAAAAGTCTGAACAAAGGAAAAAATACGTCACTTGAAAGCGAGTGAAACAGCGGCAACGATCGTCTTAACTCCCTCAATATTTGCAAGAATACAACTTTCTGTTCGGTTATTTAAAAAAAAAGCTCATATGCCAGTCACAAAACTTGACGTAGAAAGCGTAAAGGGTTATATCATTTGAAAGGTAACTGAATAAGCTTGAATGAATTTTCAGGGTGATAGTGGTTTGAAAAAATACACGCGCCATCAACAGTCAAACAAATGTGACATTCTAACTTTAATTTCAGCATTTCTGCGCGGGTAGAAATTGACCTCATGGTTCGTAAAACCTGCAGGTACAGTACAACTTATAGATCGAACATTCATTTTATAAACGCCTTTATAAACGTATTTTATAGACGTATACTGATCACATATTAGAAAATAAAAAAGAACAGAGATAAATGAGGCTTCCTGTTTGCCTGTCGAATGATGCTTTGTCTTTCACGCATCCTTGGTTAGCAAAGGTTTTCCGTGAATTGGCGTCCAGGGAAAACCAAGGACGATCCTTGAATTTCAGGAGGGACTCGTTCTCGCGAGAAACAATTCGTTCAATCCGTGGTAGGAGGCACAGCAATAACAAGATACTGTACAAGACGCGTACTTATAGGAGTTCAGTACTTGTCTTCTCTTTCCGGAGAAATCTGATATCACTCACGCGGCGCGAGGGACTATAAGGTAATGGCTATGAATCAACAAGTTCGCACCCAATGCCAGCGAGGTGCATTTTAAAATTAAACTGTCTACGTGTCGGAGAAGTTAATGAATCTTTCAACCCTTGGTTCTGCAAATGAAGCAGCTACAAGGAAACTACGTCGACGAGGAGAGGAACGCGTTTTGGCCTTCCTGTTTGCCGGTGTTTGAGCCCATTCGCTTTACGTACAAATTGTTCAGAGAAAATCCTGAATGATCATCGGCCAAATACGATTCCATGCCAAGGAATTTACAAATTTTTTTATTGTAGGTAATTTTTCACAAACGGAAACGCATTTTTAAATATGCAGTTCTGCGCTCATAAAGACGAAAAAGGACGAGTTGACCGAAAATTAGTTAGTTTTTTGAAAAATAAATGCACATTGATGGTTTTACCCAACTCCTTGAACAATACTCAACTAAAGCATAAATTTGAATATCAATTATTTTATGATTCTAGTTGCATTGGTTTATGATTATATCCGAGTCATTCAGAGAAAATAATAATCAACAGTTAACCCCGAGAACGAATTCCAACGCAATTTCTTACAACGGTTGATCGGGTTCTGAGTCAAGTACAGAGTGAGTGCTTTTTTTGTGCACTGAATAAGTTGTAAATTAATTCAATTTTGCATTTTGGCACAGAAATAAAATGTTCCAGAAGATTTATTCAGCTTGCAGTAGCCAACCAGAAGGTCCCTCATCGCTTCGTTGAGTTCACCTGAACAAATAATTGAACGATCAGGATTTTGATCATCTAACTTCAATTTTTCACTCTCTGTGGATCTGAAATCCCCGCTTAATTTTACGAATTAATTAACTATTCCCGCTGTGGAGAGGAAATTCGGCGATGAAATTGACTGAACTTGAACGGGGAGTTCACTTCAGGTCAACTTCTTTTATCAATATTCTGATGAGTTCAGAACTAAATTAAAACTTTGCGCGGAAGTGACGAGAGAATTCAACGTAAGATAGACCGAGTGAATGATTTTATTTTCGAATGTAAGGCAAAGAGAAGTCCCGCACCTTCAAAAGCCTGAGGGAAACCCTTGATTCCAGCAACTTTTAGTCCCAAGTAACGAGGGGGAACTTAGAGGCAACTCGTAAATAAAATCTGCCGTTATTGTCATCACCAGCAGAGGAGCAAGATTTGTTCAAGAAGGGTTCTTATGGTTTGAGCAATTGAGGAGCAAAGCTTGCGGACGCTGATGTGAAGCTGGAAGATTGTGAATATGATAAGATACGAGTACCCAGTTTTCTTGCTGATAACCCCGTCATGCGGTCTAGAAAATTACCCAATGGAAATACTGTACTTGACATTTTTCTGCCCGTTAAAAAATACATGAATTCAAAACTTGAAAGGAATAATTTTGCTGAATATATATACTGTAGTATATCTTGCTGTTGGGTTTTAGATGGTTCTTTGTGTGAGGGAAGAATTTCGAAACCGCAATTTTTCTTGCATTCCGTCTTCAGCAATGAGAAATATTTTTTACAAATCCTTCATTTAAAACTTGAGGTATCCATTTTCAGGTGATTAATGATCGGTGAATTAAAAAAATTATCAATGTTCTTCACGCATTCCTTGGCATAAACCATCGGGGATAACGCGCGAAAAAGCCAGTTTTATCATTGCATGTGGATTTAAGTTTATTTTAAACCCCGTATGAGGGGTAGCATCACTTTTCCATCACGCTAAAAAATTACTTAGATTTGAATTTTTCGCGATGAATTGAGGAAATTAATCAACAAAATGTGCTATGAATATTTACTCTGTTCGTATACGATGAGGCACGTCAGTCGCTGAGTGTAATTTCATGGAGACGAGAGTCCTTCGTCGAAGCCCTTTAGCTTCTCCCCTTCTAACATAAGGGAAGCCGCGTCTTTTCGTCACATTTTCATTTGCAGTGAGAGCTCTTGTGAATTGCGGTTCATCTCAAGCCCAGAAAACAACAACTAACTTAGTACCGAATTCTGATTATTACTCGTGGGACTTGCACATGCATTTTACACGACTTCCCTCGGTATACTAGAAAATTAACCGCCGAAAAATGTGTCTGCACAAATAAAGAGACATTGGGTAAATTGCGCTAGAATTTGATAAATGGATGCATTTTCTCGCAGGAGATCATCACAATAATGTAACCAGTACTAACTACACAATTTTTCAGGAAATAATTGAACAGAATAATAAAATGTCGAGTATCTGTGATGATGATTAAATGACTTCGACAGGATCATGAAACTCCATAAAGAATATTTAAAATGAAGTCTTCGATGATCACGAACATTCCCGAGAAACTCGAAACACAACACATTTCCAAGACGCCCTCATAAACTTTTCTTTAAAAAGCTCGTGATGTGATCCGAGAAGCTCGCACTTCTCGGATCCGTTGTTCGCGACTTTAACTCCTCATTAGATGAGCTTTTAAATCGCGAAGTTTTTTAAGTTCATCACATAGATGACAGATTTTTATTTTACATTTTTTTCGAGAAATTGTGAGCCGATCGAAAGAAATTTGAGACACTAAATTAAATTTTCTATTCCGACACATTTAAACTGATCACCTGGTCAACTTGGAATTCGGGCACGGTTAATCAAATGAATGCGATGATTGAGGTTCTGCTGTATCTTGATTAAGAGATTTCCAGCTAGCTCTGGGCTATCGATATTCATGGATTTCTTGATGACGGACCGCATGAATATAATTTTAAAAATTAACGGATGTTCGGATAGGGCTACTAACCTGTTAGCTGAAATTTTTCAGTTCTTCCTTGAGATTCGAGGTTCTCGTATATGAGCGAAACGATCAAGGGTAGCACTTCTCGAATCCGCACGACACTATAAAAAGGAAGCGTAGTTCATTAGGGAGGTCTATTCGACTTCTTCAGAAGCCCGCTATTGGACTGAAGGAACGTGATTCGCTCGCAACAACACATGCTGGCCGTCACAACGGACCTGCTTTCATTCAGGGAAGAATTGGATAGAGATGGGGGAAAAAAAAGGAAACGCTCCTGTTCGGACTGAAATCTCTGTACAGGGCTCTTTCAGCAGGCTGCTTTTATAGTAGTCGCGGAAACGGGCACCCGGGTTCGCGTCGGCGTAGACTTCCGGTCGGAGTCTACCTCGCGTTCTCCGAGACCTGCAAACGCACCCACGGAAAAGAGCACGACGAAAATGGCAAAAAGAGCACCACTTCACGTGTTCCATCAACAACAGAGGACAACATTTCAAATTTGAAATTTATGCCACAAGACTGCAACCGACAGTATTTATCTGATATTAAAAAATTATCATTGCACAAGGAGAGGATCCTCGTCGATACAGAAGCTCCTGAAACGCATCACGACCAGTATGCGAATCTTTGCGAACAAAAATTACGCGATAAAAAGGTTTGTTGTCCGAAAAATTCCAGTCATTTTATGAATTGTTAGAACTTCAGCATTATTGATAACTCTCAGGAAATAATAATGAAATGTATTTATAACTGTTCAGCGAATGAGTTTACCTTGAAAAACGGGACCTGGAAGAACCATGCATCAACCTGAAAATAAAACCATCCCAGCAAAGTAACAATAAATCTTGACCTTTGGGCGGCGGTGCTTCCTCTTGTGCTTTTTTCTGAATGGAAGTAGAAAGCCGTGCACATGACCTCATGAACTCCAGAGCATAATACCGCCAAGTATTTGAAATATGTGACCATAAATTACATAAATGCGACTGAAAAAATGATCTGTATATGACGTGTAGCCGTTGACTAAAAAAGCTTTGGAACCCTCTGCGTTGCCACGAACAACGATTGCTTTATTTATTTTAGAAGCAATTTTACCTGGCTTATGAAAATTTGGTTCGTAATGGTCAACATAAATAGTAATGAATATCAATTACAATACAGCAGATATTAATTGAATTCTGATGCTAAAAATACAGTATTCAGCTTATACGAACACAACAAGCATATACTGTTTATGCGGTATACATAAAAATATTGCCTTGTCGATCACGCTGGTCGACATATCAAACAATTTTTCAGCTGGATGCTATAAAAAATTATATCTAGATTCCTTTAGAATTTTAGATCGTCATTTGACGAATTATACTGGTTGTATCAAACCTTTTAATATATGTGAAATTTGAGTTTGGTGATCTGGTATAAAGTGTCCATAATTTGTCTTTTTCGAATGTAAGAAGCTCTGACGTCTCTTTCGAATTTGGAGATTATGTTTTCTCATAAAATCACCGAAAGGTTGAATTGACGCGAGCTTTATTTCGAACAATCAAATGAATTTCGGAGATTGATTGTTGAGGGGCACATTTTTCGCACCATCTTTCAAACCTGGCCAGAATAAAGACGGTCTAATTTTTTTGCGAGCGGACACTGCATATTCTTTGTAAAGTAAAATTGCCATCTTTTGGAATCCCGAGTAACTTTAATTTTTAAGGATACGTGGTGAATTTATGAAGTCTTAAAAAATCCCCAATGCCACCAGGAAACCTCACGCATCTTTCAATTGTATGTATAAAGACTTGAGGACTATAAAGGGTACATTTTCCGAGCGCAGACGATTCTCCGGCGGTGCCGCTAAGGATGACAAACGATTTTCGACAAACTTTAGAAATAAGCTGTGAAAACCGAAAAATGTCGCCAGCTTTTCCATTCATTCAGAGATGATTTCTCAACGGACTCAAATTCTGTATGAAATCGCAACTCATGTACAGTACTTGATTACGACTGGCGTCTTCCCGACTCGAAGAAATTGGGCTACGTAAAGATAAAACTCGAGATGTCGGCAGGGCATGTTTTCTCAATGATTGGGCATGAAAACTGGATTAGTTTTGCTGAAGGCACAGTCGCTGTTTATTTTCCAAAGAACGCTCTATTCGCTGTACTGCAATTGCCGCACTTATCGAGAAAAAAAACCTCGCGTGGGGAGAGGGATCAAGGCATAAAAAAGACTCAGCTTTCATTGCAAGTATGAGCCGACAGCGCGGAAGTGCATTGCAGAGCAGAGTTGATTGCAGATAAATTCTGATTAGTCTGATGCCTTGGCGAGATGGGACAACGCCTGGGTGCTGAAAAGGCATCCAACGAGCAGTCAACCCACACCCTCTCGACATCGCGTGCATTTGTTCGAATCTCTTCGTTGACAACTGCGCTACAGCCACGCCTGCAACCTGATTCGTTGGGTTGTTCCGCGACACCTGATTCATTACACTTCCGATGAAGGACCTCGAAAATGAGTGATTTTTTTTTTCTCGAGGGAATTGACTTGGGACTTCGTTCAAAAGGAAAAAGGCTACGATAATCGGAATGGTTGCCGTTTCCACACTTAAGAACAACTCTAGTACTCGCCGATCTGTCGAACTCGACGCCGTAAATAAACTTTTCTTGTACTTGGAAATCTCCACTTTGAAATGTATGATAAATCCGCCATCTAATTCTTTTTTGCCGTAGTACGTACGATTATGGGTAGCAATTCAGTATATAGTCCATGCCTTCAACGGCAATAATTTTTCAAGGTATCCATGAAATTCAGTTTGAAGATTGAAGTTCACAGTCCCATATTAACTTGAGTATCACGGGCCCTCAGGTATGGCGCGCACCCCCAATTTTCTGTGTGAAAATCGCCCAAAAAACGTATTCCCGTGTATGACATGCACCACAGTTTTTGCTGGTTAAAAATTTTTTTTAAAATAATTTTGCATAAATGAAAACAGAATGTATTGATTCTGCTGCCTCCAGTCTTGAATAAAAGGACTCAGAAATATCAAACTCGCAACCTGCTGCACAGTTCCCTTTTTGTTTTGTTTCAGCCTCTGAAACCACTTTAAACTTGTCACTAGCATTAAAAGAACCCTAATATAAATGCTTGCTTCTTTCCATGCAAAATTCTGGCAGTGAACTGATTTATAGTGCACTAAATGTTGCAAAATCTTATGGCTATTGTGTGCGGATCCATTTTTGAATATTAATTTTTTCCTCTTCCTCCTTTTTATTGTCTACTGGAGCAGCAGTTAAATGTGCTTGCATTTAATGACAGCTTTCCCTATTATAGATGATGATTTGCCACAGCATCCTTTAGTTCCTTTTGTATCTCAGATACCATCATTGGCGAAAAATTGTCCCTGCTTGAAAGTAATATTCCTAAAATTGCTATCCCTTCAACCATTATTTCCCCATGAACAAAGAGACTTGATTCCACACTTTTCCTCTTCCATTTTTGTAAAAATGTACCTGCATACAATGCGCAGGGTTTTCCACAAATTTTTGCTGAAAATTTATCCCCGCACCTTTTTTTCTGCCTTAAATTTTGGGGAAAAGGTGCAAGTGGTACTCAAGCAAATACAGTTTATCCAAAAAGTGCATGCTGGAAGCATTTATTTTATCTGATAGAATAAGAAACATTAATGATGAATCATAAGAGTGAGAAATACGCACAACAATACATTATTAATATTTTCTCATGAATGGTCCACGATCTGAAGTATATAGGCTGCGCACACGAGACTGCAGCGGGTTTTATGTACCGTAAAAATTCCATGAGTATATGCCACACCAAACCTTTTGGGGGAAAAGAACGTTGGTGTTGGAAAAATGTAATCAGAGTTCAAGACAAGAATAATTGTGCCCTCAGATCACTGTACAATTATCAGACATATCAACTCAGGAAGTGAAGTGGAGTTTCTTGTCTGTGTATGAACAGATCATCGCTCACTGGGTTCATCACTTGACCGAAAAGCAATAAAAGAGATGGGAATATTCTAGCAGGTCAATAATAAGAATGAAACTGATACAGAAAAAGGAAAGTGTGCTGAAGGCATTGGGTTCATGCACAGGAGGTACCTCGCAATTTGACCTCCCACAATTTGACCATCCCAAAATTCGATAGTCAATTTTTCAGAAAGGTTGACTCACAATTCGACCCTTGCCTCACAATTAGACCTGCTTTGGCCATTTTTTGAATTTTTGCATTGATATTTTTTAAATTTCACAGTGTCTCAAAATTTGACCTTGTTGCAATTCAACCATAGTTTGGCAATAGATTAGGGTCAAATTGCGACGTACCGCCTGTGATGCCGGGTTCAACACATGCACTTAAATCCAAGCAAGTTCAGGAAGGTTTACCTACACACTTGTCTTGTTCCACGGATGAATTAATTGAAAGGAATTGTTGATATGGTGTAGTATGGATCCTGATCCTATGTAGGACCAGTTCTGCATTGCTCTAGTCTAAAGCACGGAAAGTTTTTTTGCCGTGCTGCAGCACCGCATGTGCCATACTCAGGGGCCTTGACACGAACATACTACTCGGGTATATGAAGTACTGTACTTGGCATATTGATGTTCACCATTTGATGAATGGGGAATCTCACATTTGACACGCTGACAAAATTTTGTTGAAAAAATCAAATTGGGTGAGATGGCTTTTTTCGAATTTTATGGAGAAATAAAGGCTTATAACCCGGTTTATTAGTTGGGATAGTTAAATTCCACGGATTGATGGGAAAGGGGTAATGGGGAATTAATCCAGAATTGCATTTATTCAAGAATGGCCTGATGCGACATTAAAACATGCGCGTAATGTTCGTTTGTCTTATAATCGACTTTTCCTGAGGCAATCATGCTGAGGATAATTAACAGTGAAATGTACTCACCATCAGACCCACAACACTGCACTCATTCCAGCCATATAGTCATGAATGAATAATTTCAAAGTTATCTTTTAAGAAAGGTGGGGTAATGTGGAAGCAGGGAGAAAACCTTGACATACCGTAATCTGGGCAACATAACATTGCTGAACTCATTGACGAAAGCTTTGAAATGTTCGGAATTTTCACAACAGACCC